GGCCCTGTCCTAACTCACAGCCTTGTAAAGAAGATAGACACTAAGTAAGGACTTGAAGACAGATTCACTTTTCAGAGACGGAAATTCTGTGCTCCTTGGCCTCTGCTCTGCCCACCCCCACCAGTAACCAAAATTTCCCTATAAAATGTTTCCAGAAGCATTTTACCAAATTCCCATCTCAAAAAATGCTCCTCTGGTTCCACTTTTATTTGCTTGCAGGTAAGTCTGAACTCTTTGGAATGGCATCCTTTGGGGTCCTCCATGGGTTGATTCCACACTAGCTTGCACTAACCCTGCACCTTCCACAACCCCCGCTCCTGCTCAGTGGCATCAGCTACTCACTGGGCTTTGAACTGAACTTTGTTCAAGCAGTTCCTTGATTCTGTGCCGTTAGCTGAGATGTCCCATCTTCTACAGAATCCCTGTGCTCCTTTTTCTCTCCTTAGTCTCCTGAGCACTTAGCAAGGTCTATATGGTGTTTATGATTTAGCCTCTCACCCTCTGTCAAGGACAGAGAGCTTATCTTATTCCTCTTGAATCATCATAACAACAAAAATAATAGCTCAAATTATGAGATGCATTAGAATGAACTTTTCATTTATCTGTCAGGCAGCAGAGTGCTTCATTTGTATTATCTGCATAACAACCATGCAGGGTAGGTGCTGTCACTAGCCTGCTTTTATAGAAGTAGCCGAGGCTTAGAAAGGTGAACTGACTCTCTGAATTTTAATGTGGAAGCCTCACTTTAAAGCCCACGACCTTAGCCATGACTTGCCCTTCATTCCTATTGTGGGGTCAGTTTCTTTGTTCATAGTGTCCTTGACGGGTTGGCTTCATGAAGGGAAGAGGGACAGGGAAGCCTAGGACAGTCTCTCGGAGGTCATGTAAAAGTCATGCTCACTGAGACATGACTAAAACAGACTCTTCAGAGGTCACACCTTCCTTTACACATCAACTAGGAAATGGAGGTGACAGTTTCCAAAGGAAAACTAAACATGTTCAACGGGTTTTGTGACAAAGGATCAGATGGCCGTTTGTTGAGTCCAAATTGATGGAACCTGATCTGATTTGGGTGGTGACATACCCCATCACATGGCCCTGGTGGATGCAGGTGCCCAAAGCAAAAGACTTGCCCTTCACACAGCCATGGCTGCCTCTGCCCAAGCTGAGAGGGATATTTAACAAGGGACATCCTCTCCCTCCCTCCGTTAGACTGGACCTGTCTGCTTCCTTAGGGCAGAAGGGTTGTGTTCTCCAGGCGTCCATGCTGGCCCTGTTCTTCTCAGAGAGGCCTGCCTTTGTGAGCAGGGGCAGGCGGGGAAGCTGGGTGGGGGGTTCTCAATAAGCACAGGAACCCTGTGGCCTCGCCAGTCAGCAGGAGCAGGGCCAGAGGGTTCGGTTGGGATGGGAAGGTCAGGAAAGGGAAAGGGTTGGTTGCTGAGAGACCTGTGCACAGGAACCAACAGGCCGGGATGCTTCCTCCTCTCCTCTCTGGGGCATGAACAGGAGAGCCTGTGGATGAGTGGGACATAGCCCCAGAAAGCCTGGAGGACCTCAGTGCTCCCCAGAGCCCGTGACATCTGACATGCAGGACGTTGGTAGAAGGAGGACCATCTTCTCCTTTCTTCTCTTTTCCTTTCCCCATCAACCAGGAGGGACTAAGAGGTTGGTGGCTGCTATGGTTTGAGTGTCCCCCCAAAATCTCATGTTGAAATTTAATCCTCATTTTAAGGTCTTCAGAGGTGGGACCAGATGGGACACTTAGGAGGTCACTGAGTCATGAGGGCCCCGTGGATTGTCATGGAATAATGGATTAACATGTTATTTCCAGAGTGGATCATTTACAAATGCTACTCTGGCTCCGTCTCTGGCACACACCTCTCCTCTCTTGCCTTGTGGTGCCCTGCAGTGCCTCCAGACTCTGCAGAAAGTCCCACCAGAAGGTGTTCACTAGATGTGGCCCCTGACCTTGGATCTCCCAACCTGTAGAACCATGAGCTGAATAAACCTTTATTCTTTTTAAACTACCAATTAGAGGTGCTCAGTTATAGCAACACAATATGGACTAAGACAGTGGCCTTTCCTTCCTTTATTTCTTGACTTGCCTCGAGTTTGGCTTGGCTCGTCTACAGCACAGACATCTTTACGTGCCACTTTGTCCTCCATATCCTGGCTCACATGCTGCATTTGGGGGGACATGTTAGAAGATATACAGACAGGCGGAGGCACAGACCCATGAGGGATTAATGTTCGGAGTCTCGTCTAACACACTGTGCTTGCTACTCTCTGATTCAACAATGCCTTGCTGCTGCTGGATCTCAAGACATCTTACACCCCACCCTGGTCACTGCATTGCACTATGGACATAACTATTTTTAAAGGAGAAGAAACAAATTTTGAGGAGCTGGGACTTATTTGACTTGTTCTTTAGACCATTAGTCTTATTTTTATTCTTCTGCTCCTGCAGGATCATCCACAGGCCTATGATGCTGCTACAGATCAATCTCATGCTATCAGGACTCTAGGTTGAATCTCCAGCTAAATTTAATTCAACAAAGTCTGAGATTTTTATCAGATGTCATAAACAGAGTAGCTCAAATGACAGCAGAACTCCACAGGGTCATCTAAGTTGCAGGTACAAGTCTGGATTCCTGAGCTTCCTGGCACAGTGAAGCAGGCCAGGCACAAAGGGCACATTGAGTGTGCCGTGCTCCCCAGCCCCTGGAGGACTGAGAGTGGGAAACCTGTGGGCATCTGAGGGTTCTGGAGGCTCTGGGAGTGAGAGTTACCATTGTTATAAACACATAGCTTTACTAACAGTGAGGTAAAGCAGTCCCCCAAGTAACGTGCCAAGAATGGTTCAAAGTCCTAAGGACGGGGGGCACTGGCATGTGGGAAGCCTGGCTCACAAAAGAGGAGGGCAGGCAGGTGGGCAGGTGGGCAGAGGGCTGAGGGGTGCAATGGGTGTCTGTGTCCTGGCTACCAGGGCAGACCATGAGACTGATTGGGGTTTCGAGTCTCCTTCCTGTTGAGAGCCTGAGATGGGTGCTTTGTGGTGGGACCGCCAGGTTCTTATAATAACTTTTATAATATGTAGGATTATTTAATAATTTGTGTCCTCTGCCTCATTACTTAACAGTGCAGCGGTGCACTGAGCACTTTATATAACCTTATCTCGTTTTATCCTCACAATAACCCGACGATGGGTTCAGATGATATTGTTATCCCTTGTTGTAAAGAAGAGGAAACTGAGGTTCAGAGAAGTGACAGTCTCTAGCCCAGTTCTCACAGAAAAGAAGCAGTGAAGTAGAGACTTGTCCTCAGCTGGGTTCCTCCAGGGCCCCACCTTCTGCCCAGCCTGGAGAAAGAAGGAAACCTTCAGAAGTCAATAAGCCAAGATTCAAATACAGGTAGAATGACCAGAGCACACCCCAACTACCACTGACTACCTAACCACTTCCATATTTTGTCTAAAGAACTCTCTATTGTAAGACATGCCATCATTTTGGGTAGCACTAAGAGAAAACTGGGCTAGATTTTAGAGATGTTAAAATACCAGCTATATGTGCGTCCAAGTTTGATGGAATATTGCAGTGGCCACACTGGGCTAGGGGCTCTTCCTCCATGTGTCATTTCATCACAGTGGCCCTTCCCATTGCCCCGGCTTCTGCAAGGCAGGACACAGGACTCGGTGCCCATGGGAGATCACAGAGCTTTGGAGCCCCAGAGCCTGTATCTGTCTTCAGCAACTTCCAAAGCCCAAACTCCTGATCCTTGACGAGGAGGCCACCCTGCCTCTGAACAAGATGGGCTGTCTTTTGCCATTTGTTCCTTCTGATGGCAAACAAAAAACACATGGAGGACACCATGCTGCAGGGAGAAGGAGCACTTGCCTCACTGACCGGCACAGGCTCCTCTTGGGCTCCTGCTGGACTTTGGGCTGCAAGCCATCTACAGTGAAGTCAGGCGAGCCCTGCAGGACACCCAAGAGCTCTGTCCAGTCCTCCCCTGCTTCATCAGCCTCCTGTGTCCACGGTCTGTCTCCCACCCATCTCGCGCTTTCCCCAAACTCCACTTGTGATCTGTGCCAGATTTTGTGGCCTCTTGTCTGACCTTGAATTTATTCCTCCCCCATCTTCCTTGCCTCCTCCCTTCTCTCCGAGCATCTTCACTGTCAACCGCGCCCTGCTTTCCTCAGGAGCTGGTTCATGCCTTAACCGCTTCCCAGCCCTGTTCACGCCTCCTTCTCGTGAAAGGCCTTCTAGAATCCCTGCATGTTCACATGGAAATAAAGGGCAAGAGAGAGGCGCCGCGAAGAGGCTGTGTGTGGGGAGAGAAGTCCACTGGACAAGTTCCCTGGCTCTCCTTGTGACCCCCGGGCCTCCACCACCTCTGTAGGCTGAGCAGGGCCAGGTGGGCCTCTGGGTTTCCAACCTGTGTCGTCATCGTAGTCTTCTCGCCTCTGTCTTACCCTCTTAGCACCCCCCGCCCCCCCAGTTTTCCACAGTGAAGAGGACAATTATATTCATTAAGTCTTCCCCGGCTCTTTAAGACTCCCTCCTTCTCTCCCCTCCCAGCCGCTGAGTCACCCTTTCCCATCACACCTCTTCTCAAAGCCTTCCCCAACTGGAGATGAAGGATGGGACTTGGCACTTAACCTTCTTCTGCTTTTACTCTCCATGTCAACGAGAAATTAAAATCACAATTTAGCCTCCTAACCAACGAGATCATTCTATGGAGTGATTTTCTTTTTTCTGAATGACCTTCCTCTTACCCATCCTTGGCCCCTTAGAAACTTCTTTGTCTTCACATGACTGTCTCAATTCAGCCTAACTTTTCCTTTTATTTTTATTTATTTTTTTAAGAGGGACGTTAAAACAACTTGCAAGCTGGGTGGCACAGGCCTATAACCCCAGCTCCTCTGGAGGCTGAGGCGGGAGGATCATGAGTTTGAAGCTAGTCTGGGTAACACAGAGACCCGACCTCAAAAATAAAAATAAAACAATGAAAACCATCCAATTCCAATATATGCAAACCTTTATTAAATATTATTTGCTTTCAGTGTTTGATTGAATTGTGAAACCTGCTCGTGTGGGTTTCCTTGTTCCAGGTTCTCCCAGGGCTCAGTTATGTCTGCCTCTTTCCCACGCTCCACACACCAAGGAGGCTACAGAAAATATGTGCTGAATGAATGAATGACGTGCAGTTGTCACTGGGACTGTGTCCACTTAAGATGTGAGCTCTGTGAAGCCATCCACTCCACAGAGACTAATGGAGACCCTGCTACGTCAGGTCCTGGGTTAAGCGTGATGGACATGACAGAATCAAACAGACACATGCTCTTGGAGTCCACCTTATAACAGAAAATGACCACTTAAAATTATTATATTGGGGTACTGGGGTTGTGGCTCAGCAGTAGAGTGCTCACCTAGTATGTGTGAGGTGCTGGGTTCGATTCTCAGCACCACATAAAAATAAATAATAAAATAAAGGTGTTCAACTACAACTAAAAATTTTTTTAAAAGATGTTTAAAAATTATTATGTTAGTGCCTACATAATATGGGACTCTAATAAATGTGCTAGAATAAGTCTCAAAATGACAGAAAGTTGAATTCATGTTTGTTCTAGGAAAGCTAAGAAACTGGGACAGAGAGAATGAGAGAATTGATGGGGGCTTTATTGAGATATAATTCATATATATCAACTCATATAATTCATATATCAACTCACCCAATTAAAGTATACAATCCAATAGCTTTTGGTATGTCCACAGGGTTCTACAACTATTGCGCTATTTAATTTCAGGATATTTTTAGTGTTTTACTAAAAAACTACTTGTTTTTTTTACAAGGTCAGGATGTAGCTCAGTGGTGAGTGCTTGTCTACTGTGCGTGAGGCCCTGGGCTCCATCCCCAGAGCCACAAAAAGTAACGCAAAACAACCTTTTAAAAAGTTATATTCTATTTCTCTTCTTCCCCATCTCTATGGATTTGCCTATTCTGGACATTTCATATACATGGAATGTATATGAAAACATGGAGTCCTATAAAATATGGTCTTTTGTGATTGGCTTCTTTCATTTCACATGAAAATTTCAGGATTCATCATGTTATGTTCATTCTTTTTATGGCTAATATTCCACTGTATGAATGTACCACATTTCTTTATCCATTCATCATTCAATGGGCATTTGGGTTTTTTCTACTTTTTGGCTACTATGAGTAATTGAATGAACATGAGTAGACTACTTTTATATGCTTTCATTTCTCCTGGGTATATACTTAGGTATGAGATTGTTGGGTCATTTGGTTAACTCTGCTTCACCATTTGAAGTGTTTTCCAAAAGTGATCACCATTTTGCATTTTGCCAACAACATGTGAACAATTTCTTCATATTCTTGACAATATCTATTATTGTCTACCTTTTCCATTAAAGCCATCATGATGAGCACAACATGACTTTGTGCTTTTGCCTTGCATTTCCTTGGTGGCTAAAGACGTTGAGCATCTTGCCATGTGGAGATGAGAACGTCTGTACCATTTGTGAGGCAGCTACTGGGTCCACAGCACAGCGCCTGCCTGCTGCTGTAGGTGCTCAGCGGAAAGGAACACAGCTAAGAATGAGCGAAGAAATATGCCTTGGAGGACGTCAGCTCTGACAGCCTCAACCTGTAAGGGGACAGTCGTATGAGGGAAATGTTTTGCAAAAATGAAACAATGCGTTTTCACTCCTCTCATCCCATCCCACTGCTTATACACCATGTTCCATTTGGGCTTTCCCTCTCAGAGGCTGGGCCAGGAGGCCGGTCTCCTGTAGCCAGAGAAGGAAAAGGGGAGCACAGAATAAAGAAGAGTTGGACTCAACTGCCAAGATCTGTGGAGAGACTTGCAAAATGGCTTGTGCTCCCAATTCACATAGCGAGGGCGCGGCTCGGCAGAGAGTCTGCGGAGCTCCCACTACTGTGGGGGTGTGGTGTGAGGTTCAGTCTTAAAGATCGGGTTAGAAAAGAAGGTATGATAAGTGTGTGTGTGTGTGTGTGTGTGTGTGGTGGGGGGTGAGGGGCCTTTGGCTTTAGAAACATCCTGATGCACTGAGGGGAGAACGTGGAGACGAGGCGGCTCTCAACGCGGGGCTGCAGCGCCAGGGTTGGGAGGGTGACGGGCGCGACGGATGGCGAGTGGGTGTGCTTTGATGCCGTTCCCACAAGATGAGATGCTGAGATATGAGCCAGAGGCTGCTGTGGGGTGACCCTACAGTGGGGTCCCGGCAAACCTTCTGGGTGGGGAAGCCAAGGCTCATGGCCAGCAAGAACTGGTCAGCCTGGGAGCGGCCCTGGGCCAGGACAGACCAGCAGTCCCAAGTTGAGTCATAAAGGACAAAGGGGTGGGCAGAACACAGCAGGCAAAGCACTCATGCCAGAGAGCGTGGGCGCCTAGAGGACCCTGTGCAGGAGCATCTTGGATCTTCTCTTCCAGGAAGAGGTTGGGTGCTTCCTCCCAACTCCTTCTGCAGCCAAGGTCAGGGGGCCACTGAGGCTGGAGCATTTCCTAACAGGACCATTTAAATCTCCCATGGGATAAGAACAAAGATGTTTCCAGCTACCTAGCAGATGAGGTCTTGTGGGGAAGCCCCCACTACAGAAAAACTAGGGGAAACCATGGCCATGTCGTGTGAGGAAGATTGTGGCACTTCCCAGGGTCCGGTCCTATGGCAGCCCCATACAGGGCTGGTGACACAGGGACGAGGTCCCATCAGCATTGCTGTCTATAGCTATTTTCAGGGACTTCTCTGGAATCAAGAAGTATGTAGGCAGAGAGTCAATAAAAAATAGTCCAAAGAGCAAGTCCTTTGTCATCTTTGGCTGCAATCCTTTCAGAAACATTTGGAAGCATTCAGATGGGCCAAGCTAAAGAAATGGCACTCCTCTCACAGTGGCACCCCCGGCTTTGGAACCTTTACTTTGTCCCAGGTGTTGTGCTGACTCTTGACATGTGTCCTTGAATCCTCCAGCAGCTCTCTGAAAATAGAAACTGTTGTCATTCATGTTTCATGAAGAAACTGGGGGCTTGTGGAGGTCTCCCAGGATCTTGTGCACACATGGAAGGGCCTGCATCTGCACCCAGGGGTGCTACCTAGAAGACCGCACCGCAGTGTGGTCCCACGAGGGCAGGGACCACGACTATCATTCACAAAGATATTTATGAGGCGTGACCCATCGTATAAGCTGTTTGTTGCCTCTCTAGTGAATAAAGTTCTTAATCAGATCATACAGAACTCGATGCCAAGCTAAGAAATTGAGCTTGGTATGTGGGCTATGAGAAATAATGGAGGAAATTCGATCAAGGGCAAGACGTGGTCAGATCTGAGGTTTGGGAGGATAAGGCAGAAGATGCTGTGGAGAGGGTAAGAAGAATAAACTGCAGAGAGAAAAAGTAGAAGCAATTTCCCCATGGATAAAGATGGAAAATTTTTTTTATTAGAGTTAAGACATTGATGAACGAGAAGGAAAATTTGATATTTAGGTCCAATCATGAGAAGATGCATGTAAGTAGTGAGGGAAACAGAATATGACCAAGTCTTTCAGCTTGGTTTACTTGCAAACATTACACTGTCTTCTCAGGGGCAATGGAAGTAGGAATGCATGGATTCTACCTTGGGATGCATCTGCAGAATGTTCCGGAAGGTTTCTTTCAGATGGTGGGAGCTACAAATCAGCACATCAGAGCAGAGGTACAGGACAGGATTTGGGAGATGTGGTGGACTCTCAAGCAGACCAGGACACCTAGAGAGAACACCATTAAAAGAGACCACCTAGGACAGGCCCCTGAAGGATGCCATACTTCCAAGGGTGACTACTATTGTTTAGATCTGGATGTCCTCCAAAGATTCATGTGTGGTAGTCTTGGTCCCCACTGCAGCAATGTTCAGAGGTGTGGCTTTGGGGAAGTGATTGGGTCCTGAGGGCTCTGACCTCCTGAATGTATTAACCCATTGATAGCTATATGGACCATGGGGAGATGGTAGAAACTGTAGGTTATTGGGCACAGTTGAGGAAGTAGGTCCTGGGAGTATGCCCTGAAAGGTATTTCTTGTCTGGAGTCCCTTTCCTTCTCTCTCCCTCTTCCTGGCCACCATGAACTGAACAGTCTTCCTCTGCCACACCCTTCTGCCCTGTCTCATCTCAGGCCAAAAGCAATGGAGAGAGACAGCCAACTCTGGGCTGAAACCTATGAAAATGTGAACCAAAATAAATCTTTCTTTCTCTAAGTTGTTTTTCCCAGGTACTTGTTGCAATTTGAAAAGCTGACTAAAACAGTGGCTAAAGGAAGAGAAATCAGTACTGAGCACTAAGCAAGTTCAGATACAGAGAAAGAAGACCCAGAAACTAGAGAGGGGAGCATTATCTAGAGTAGGATGAAAAGTCCTAGTGCCCTTTGGGGTTGGAGAGTCTATAAGAGAGTGGTAGAGATCCAGTCTCAGGTTGACCCTCGCTCCAGCTGGGAAGGATAATGGGTGAAAGGGGCCAGGGATTGTGAGGGTTAAAGAGAAACCGGAGAGCAGGAGTTTTAGATGATATCTTCCAATTGGTAAAATCAAGTCAATTAAGGACAATATTCAAGGGCTAGAGATGTAATAGTGTAGTGTTGATGCTTTCTAGTGTGAGGCCCGGTGTTCAATCCCCAGCACTGCAGAAAGACGAAAACAACAACATCCACAATGGACCACATATTCTCAGGACATTGCAACCCAGGTACAGGAGGAGATCATTCATCGGCTTTTCTAAAGTGGGTTTCGAGGGAGGAATAGGCTGGAAGAGAGCCCCAGAGGGCCGGGGGTGCCATCTTCCTTTAGTAAGCTCAGCTGTGCAAAGAAGCTGAGGGGCGAGAGGGCCACCGGGTGGATTAGGAAGGTGCATTCATCTGCTCTTCCTGGCTCTGACCAAAATACCTGACAGGAACAACTTCGAGTTGCAAAAGCTTACTTGGAGCTCACAGTTTCAGAGATGTAGTCCACAGCTGCCTCCATTGCTCTGGGCCCAGGGCCATGGCGGAACATCATGGTGGAAGAGAACACCTGGAAGAGAGCAAAGCTGTTCAGCTCCTGGCAGCCAGAAACAGAAAGAGAGAGATCCGGGAGAGTCAGGAACAAAATATAAGCCCAGAGGCACCCCCAGTGACCTCCTTCCTCCAACCGTGCCCAGCCTACACTTTCTACCCAGCATGGAAGTTCTTTCAAATTATTAATACATCAGATGAACTCATCCATGGATTAGGTTTCAGCTTGTGTCATCTAATTGTTTCACCTCTGAACATTACTGAGTTTCCTAACATGGGCTTTTGTGGGACATCTCATATCCACACCAAACTGAAGGACTTTCAGGTTGAAGGAACTGATTCAATTTGGGGGGCAAAGGGAAAGGTTCAGTGAACAACATTCTTTCCCTCTTTTTAGAGAGTTTTAAAGTTTTTTTTTTTAAATTAGAAAAATTCCTACAGTAACAGAATAGAATGTGATTTCTCATCTACCCCAATCCTTTCCCAGAAGTAATCAATTCCTCAGGTTCCTCTCTATGTGTACCCATACATATGTGATTTTAAAAAATTATGGGGTACTCAGGGCTGGGGTTGAAGCTCAGTGGTAAAGCCGTCACCTAGCACATGTGGGGCACTGGGTTTGATTCTCAGCACTGGATATAAATAAATTTAAAAAAAATAAAGATCCATCAACAACTAAAAATATTTTTTTAAAAAAGTTGTGAAATGATTCTATGTCTATTGTTCTATGGCTTTCTTTTTTTCCACTCAAAAATGCACATAAATGTCTATCTCTCGTTTTTTATAGTTGCTTGATATGACTTGGCTGTATGATTTATTTTATTGCTCTATTATTGATATGACGATATTTCCAAATTTTTGCTATTGCAAACAGCACTGCAGTGAATCTCACACATAGATCTTTGGGCATTTGTGTGAGTTCTTTTGTAGGACAAATTCTTAGTACTGGACTTGCCAGTTGCAGGGTTGGCACATAAGTGTGCTGGTTCCTGGAATGGCCTCTTGATTTATTTGTTCTCTCAGGGCTAGGAATTACAAGCACAGGGAAGGAGACATTTCCAACGGAGCTTGTAAATTGAAAACAAGACTTTAGCATATTCCAACTTGATGAATATACAGCTTTCTTTTTAATCACAATGCTACAGGTAATTGTACTGATGCATAAGTAACTCCTATTCACCTGATGAATATAGACCAAATATAAATCACTTTCAAAGAGATGACATTACAGTCTGCCCTTCTTGGTTTGATTTTTATGACCTTCTATACCTAGAGTCAATATTTGAAGAAGATTCTCATTCCTGAGGGCACATTTACACTGTTAAGATTTAACCCGAGGGAAATTTGTCTACAGATTTCAAGGAGATCAAAGGTTGATGTCCATTAACATTTTTAAAGACATGATTATATTCCTGGGACTCGGTATTTAGTATGTGAAATTATCAGATAGTTTTTTGGTGCAGAGTAGGTAAAACCCTATCTTCTTCGGGTAGAAACCATAAAAACATTCAGGAAAAACAAAGATGAAGCATAAACCACTTCTTGGTGGGGTCCCTCTGATTTGGGGGCAGCACGCTTGGCTCAGAGTGCCCTCTACTGGCCTCAGGCACCACCACTGCACCAGCCTGTATCTGGCGTAATTTCCAAAGTTTGGAAATCAACGCTAGCCCTCTAACGCTGACATAAATGAAATCTTTGACTATCTTTTGCTGTAGCCACTGTAACCCCAAGATGTCCTCTTTCAATAGTCGTGCTATATTTTCATGTTATTCATGGCTCTGCTTTCCCTTTAGGAATAATTCCTTGGTGACCACAGTGGTTTTTTTCTTAATGCCCTTTCTTAGATATGAGTTAAGCTACTGGGGTATCACCTACATTCATTAACTATTGGAAATAAGATTCATAATTTTGGATAAGCAGGAACTAGATCTAGAAGCAAACAATTTAGTGTCATCACCCACTGTGTCTGAGCTAAGCATGGCCAAGATTGAGGTCTTCTGTCCACTCTGGAAAGCTGTCAGAACCTTAGGGCAGCCATGTCTTTCCTGTATTCGTTTAGCAATATTTGCCAAGTACTACTATGTGCCAGGGAGTGTACCAGGAGCAGGTCTTAGTGGTGGACAAGATGAGAACAGTTACGCTTTCATCATTAGTGTGATAACTAGGTAGTATTTTTATTGCAAAATGCTTGGAAACTTAGGAGCATCGTAATGGTTTACTGGAGCCTCAATGATGTTCTTTCAAATTACCTGTTAATCTCTTCTGTGCAGCAGGACTACTAAATTTAACTAGGCTCATCCTCTCGCTCAGAAATGGCTTCTAACATCTTAAAAGGAACCATTCAATCCTCCAAGGAACATGCTCATAATCTGTTATGATAGGGAGGAGGAGGCAGCATGAAAGAAAACCATTTTTCCAAATAACTGTTTTCCTTGGAGCTTGGGTGGGCAGAGCTGAGGCCAGGCCCTGTTTGGATATGGGAACCTGTGGTTACCTGGCGCTATCTTCATAAACCCTGCTGGGTGAGCAGCAGGCCCGTGACCCCCTGCTCGTCCCTCACCCTGCTGTTCCTCTGGGCAGAAGAGAAGCCCCCCTTTTGCTTTCTCTCTCTATTCAGGGCTCATCTGCCAGACAGAGGGATCAAACCCTGGAAAGGCCAGCCCCAAAGAGCGGGTGCTTCCTTTCAACCAGGCCACAATATTTATGGAGTAGAAGACAGCAGACGAAAGCACTGGCAGATGAGCCAGGCAATGTCATCCAAGAGATAAGGAAATGACGCAAGGCCAAAGGCTGGAAGGAACCAAATTCCATGCAGCATCCAGTGAGATTGCACTGGTTATTTATGCCCTAACTTTTACTAAACTTCAGATGAACTTGGGGGGACAGACATTATTTCTTCTTCATTTCTCCTGGATTTACAAGCACATATTATACTTCTTTGGGAAAGTCATGCATCCTTCTAATTTACTGTCCAAAGTCCAGTGAACGACCGCTAGTTCATTGTAAGTGAAGTTGGATTTTTAAAAGGCTGTTCTCTTTCAAATCATTCCCGATTTCCAAGATCCTGGAATTAATGGGTTTGTTTTTGTTGTTGTAGTTGCACTGGGGATTGAGCCCAGGGGTGCTCTATCATTGAACTACATCCTGAGTCCTTTTTATGGTTTATTTGGAGACAGGGTCTCAATAAGTTGCTCAGGCTGGACTTGAACTTGTGCTCCTCCTGCCTCAGTCTCCCCAGTCACTGGGATTACTTGTGTGGGCCCCTGTGCCCAGTGGGTTGTATTTTATGGGTTTGCTCCATGAAAAGTTCCAAAATTTCCAATCCCTTTTCCCAAGTTACACTATTCAATTAAATCCAGTTCATTTAGTCCAACTCACCAAATATTTGTTGAGCTGAGCACTCTGTTTGAAGAAGACCTGGACACCACCCTTGGGAAATTCACAGGATGAGACAGATGATAAACAGCTCACTTCAGTCCAGAGTGGTGATCGCAAACGAGAAGGTTACACACACCACAGCACTTCCAAGCCTCTGCCCTCCTGGAGTTATGGTTTGGAGGGAGAGCCATATGCTGATCAGAAAATTGCACTAATCAAAATAGAATTTAAACTTCAACCAGTGCTCTGGAGACAAGGAAGGTGGTGCCGTGGGTTAATGTGGCATCTGGCCTGGGTATGTGGGGAGAGAGGGGTCAGAAGAGCATCTTCAAAGAAGATCTGAAAGATGGTTCAGGGTGAATTCACTGTAGACTGGTGGAACCAAGGTCCAGGCACTGGAAGGTACATGCAGAGGAACTGGAGCAGGAGGGCCATAGTGTATCCAAGGGACCAAAGCAACACTGGTATGGCTAGATCACAAGGCTGGCAAAGGAGAGCAAGTGGCCAGGCCATGAGGTCAGCAGGGTCAGACCCCCCCGTGGGAGTCTGGTTGACCTTGGCCTGCACTCCTGTGTGCTCATTTCCTCCTCTGTATAATGGGGGGGGGGTCTGAACAACACCTGCCTCGTAGTCCCTGTCTGCAAAGCACAAGGGACTATGCTGCTGGTGTCGGCTGCTGCTGTTGTCATTCTCAACTGGGGACAAGGACCTGCCCAGCCAGGCTGAATGTTACTTTTTAACCATTCACACTGGCTCTGTGGGCACAGTCCTATAGAGGTCTCAGAAACCACAGAAATTAGCATAAACTCCTGTCAAGGCAACCACTGGCTTTCTGGAGACATTCTGAATGAATGACCGGCGGGGCTGCTGACCACAGGACTCAAAAACAACCACCAAGAGTTTATCCCAAATACCCAGAAAAAAAAAAAAAAAAAAAAAACCAAGACGGAGGAAGGAGGCCTGAGCCTCCGGAGAGAAGGCCATCTATAAATGGAAAATTACACTGAAGCAAAACAAATCTTATTTGATGTGAACCCATTTTTGACTCTGTCTGGAAATGCAGGGCTGAAGGAAGTGGAGGGGACAGGGAGTGAGCCGAGGTGCCCAGGATGAGGCTGCCTGACGGGGCTGGCGCAGACACGTGTGTGTGCTGTGACGGGGCCATGACAAAGGGCCACAGCCGGCTGCCAAGGTGGCCACTCCTCTGGCCAGATGAGGGTGGACCCGGGCACTCCTGGGGTGTCTGTGCTGTGACACATGCCTGGGCAGCATGTGCTGACCGGCTGGCTGAGGGCAGGCAGGGCCCTAAAGAGGTATAGGAAATGTGGGAAGATGCATGAGGAACCCTGGGGCACTTCTGTTCCCTCCAATGGGGCCATCAGTGTCATGGTCTCACAGGGCCATCATAGCATAGACTGGGACAACCCAGTCAGGAAGCACCATAAATAACCAATCAGCACTCTTCATTTTTAATATTTTGAATTACAGATAGACAGAATACCTTTATTTTGTTTATTTATTTTTATGTGGTGCTGAGGATCAGACCTAGTGCCTCACACATGCTAGGCCAGTGTTCAACCACTGAGCCACAACCCCAGCCTCCAATCAGCACTCTCCAGAGCAGCTCAGAACCGCCAGACCCAAGGCTAGTATTTCTATTTCTACAGCCCTTCCACGCCGGAGGTTATTTCTGAACATCTTCGTGTCTCATATTTCTCATGATAAGAGAACTGTGACCTTTCCATTTAAATGGCCTTCACACTCCCACCCAGAAGGGAGAGGGGCAGGGACTGAAGCCAGGAGGCAGGTAAGAAATGACAGTGACTGGGAACATGGCTGTAGTGATGCAGAGGGAAGAAGAGGCCAGGTTGGGGATCTATTTTGAAGCTAGAACTAATGAACTCGCTGAGAAATGGATTAGGCGAGGTGAAGGAGAGGGAGAGAGAAAACTGATTTTATTTGGGGGGCTGAGGCACCGGGAATATTTATCAGATTTGAAATATTTAGGAAGGAACATCTGGGGAGTTGGAAAGAGGGAATCAACAGGTCTGTTTGGGCCATAATAATTTTAAGATGAGCAGTGGACATCCAATGGAAATGTTCAGCAGGGGTGGGATGTAAGACCTGACTACATATGATTTTCCCAGGTTTACCCCTCTCGCCCATGGATTGAGATATGCTGGATTCCCAGTGGAATCTTCCAATTCTGGCTCTAAGTGTTCCCCAACTCTGTACGTTGCCTAGGTGTGTTCTCTGCCCAGGGCACTTATCAGTCTTGGCCTTTTGAGACCCTAATCATGAACCCTTCTTCCCAAATCTCCATCCTAAGTGATTTGTTCCTTGTGTCGGGGGGCTTGTCTTGTTTGTGATGCTTGTCATATTTTCTTCGCCCAAGGAGAGCTATTTCCATGCATTAACTCCTGTGCTGGCTGCTAAATTCCTGGAGTGCAGGGCTCACAATCACCTACTTATTTACGTATTTTATTTTTACAATATCTTGCATGGTATGCAGAAGTGTGCTCAGCACAGAGAAGGCTACACAGAGAAGGCTAATGTTGGATAAGGGAAGGATTGGGATATTCTAATAGGCTAATCTAATCCCAGGTAGTCAAAGGTGGAAGGTTTTCTAAACCCTAGAGGAACTGGTAGTGGCTGTGTGTGGTTCTTTGGTGTAGAACCACCGAGCACAGTGCTCAGTCTCAACTCACCTACTTCTCCCTGCATAATTCATGTGCTCACTACAGAAGCCTGTCTTTAGAAAGTCGGTAGTGTATGTTCTTTCCTAAGGGGGGAAAAAAAACTTCATATGCAGTGTTTTCATTGTCACTCTGTCACCCCACCATCAGGTTTTATAAGCCTGGACTTTGGGCCCTTTGCTTTCTGTGAATTCAGGCATTTGTGCTAGAGCACTGGATCCTGGTGTTGAGCCCCATTTGTTTTAGATCGATGCCCAACCTATAAGGCTGCATTAAGATTGGATTGATTTATTCTAACACACATTTTGCTTCATGGGGTATCAGATCACGGATGCGGAAGCGCGGAAGAAATAATGACAGGGTCAGGGCTGGGGTGGTGGCTCAGTGGTGGAGCGCTTGCCTAGCACACGTGAGGCAGTGGGTTTGATCCTCAGCACCACATATAAATAAATAAAGGTATTGTGTCCACCTACATCTAAAAAAAAAAGAAATTAAAAAATAAAAACGATGACAGGGACAGATATCAAGTGGGGGAGTCTTGGTAAGCAAGCTGACAGACAAAGTGAATGGAGACAATTAGAAATGAATAGTGACCATCCAGGGGGCTGGGGTGTGACCTGAGCTCAGGAGAGCGGGAGAGGCAAAAGAAGATTCCTGGACCAAGTAAGAGTTGGAGGCTAAGTGAAACGAACAAAGAAAGGAAAACATAAAGGGTGGGTTATAATGGGGGTTACTGAAGGCAGAGAGAGAAGAGCAGAGTCCATAACTGCAGTGTTGCTTATTGAGTGTTGGAAATGTGCCAGGCACTGGGATAAGGGCTTTGTGCGAATTGTCTTGTTTACTTATCCTGATGACCATGCTGTAGGTATTATTATTTTACTCATTTTACAACGAGGAACTTGGGGATCAGAGAGATTAAGCAAATTTCTCAGCGTCACAGAACTGGTAACTCTAAGAATTTGGGATTTTTGACCCAGTTCTGTTGAATGCCAGAGACCAGGTTCTGCAACTTCGGATATCAATGGATTCAGGGTCAGTCCTTCCACCAGGCCTGCTGCAGGCCGAAGAATGAAATGTCTCAGGACACCTCAAAGATCAAGGGTGATGAGCTAAGTTGCAAGTGCAGCTCAGAAGCCCAGCTCTGAGTGAGCTGCTTGCCAGGGCTGTGAGTGCTCAGGGCAGAGGCACTCTTCCATCACCAGGGAATACTCACCCCATTGTGTCGGGGCCCCACCTAAATGTTTTTATATTGTCTGCCCTTTGCCATGAGTAATGCCACTTTCCATTTTAAGCGGGAGCTCCAGGAGATGACTGCATGAGAAGCCAGGATTTAACACTAACCTCTGCCTGGGGGATCACTCACCCACTTGTGGCCAACAGCACGGAATGCTGCTAAAAGAGCTTCTCCCCTGCCCGATCTTAAAGGAAATCTGGTTTCCTCCCTGGGATCCCAGTAGGAGCTGAGCCAGGATATCAGAAAGCTGGCTAGTTCGCTGGTTTTCCACAGGAAACTACTGTCTTGCTCTGGTCCCCTGGTGTGTGCTAAGGTCTTGACTTGTTTGTTCATTTGGCACTTGTTGAGGGCTTGCTGTGTGCCAGGCAGTCTGCTCGGCGGTGGAGATCCTGCCCAGGACGACACAGCCTTAGTTCTTGTCCTCACGAAGCTAACAGTCTAGGGGAACAAGCAGACACTAATAATAACATGTCACAAACAATAAATAAACGATATGAAATGGAAACCCAGGGAGTGTTGGGAACCACCAGCCAGAGGACTTAGGCCACACAGGTAGGAAGGCCAAGGAGGAGCTGGCTGGGTTTCTTCACTGTAAGCAGCTGAAACAGACTCCTGAAAATTAGAGAATGCCGTGTGGCTCGCAGAGTCACTGGGAAGGTCTGGTGGCCACAAATCACTCAGCAAGAATGATGTGTGTGTGTGTGTGTGTGTGCGTGCGTGTGTGTGCATGTGTCTGTCTGTGTGGGGAGTGAGGGGGAGATAGGTGGAGTGGGTAACTCTCAAATATGTGGGGTGTGGCTTTCAGATGCTGCGCAAAGAGGATG